CCCCGCCCGGCTTCTTCCTTTTAGAGAGGCCATCTGTTTCTGAGCGCAGGTACGAACATGAAATCTAGGTGGAATGAGTTGATCTCGCTCCGTAGGATTTACTTGGTTCTGACGTCGCTGGAGGAAAGGCAGACAGACGTTTGAACCTGGCTCTTCGTATTTTTGTTATGATTTAGAAAAACGATCCCCAGACCAATGCTAAGAACCTCGTACTCTGCAGTGAGCTCCAAAGCACAGAGTGTATTTTTGTAGCTCCAGGGAAGGGAGCCTCACCTAAACTGCGTGCAATCTGCCCAGAAGGAAGCTGAAGTTAAAACGCTACGGCTACCAAAAGTGGCATCGCCTATTACTCGGGCCAGGCCAGGCCAGAGACTGTAGGTTACCATATCCGAAGGTCGCCAGCCAGAGCCAGTAACCGACAGAGTATGACTTTACCTGCTCCTGAAGGTTACAACCTGCAGCAGCACTGCAAACATTTCAAACTTGCCCCTTCAGCACTGCGTCGTCGACCAAGAGCTGTCGCATGTGGCTACACCTGCTTCCATTAAAATTGATCTGGTAAACCAGAACAGCCCAACTGCATACTCGCCTGCCCCCGCCGCCTCTGAATTTTGCAACTTACCCTTACAATTCGTAAGAAATTTGGGGTCAGTCTATCACAAATGGTTGCTCAGCTGTAAATAACACAGCTTGGGTGACACAAGTTGTTAGCTGCGTCAGCACAGGGCTGTTTTCAGGGTCATTTGCGTGGGAAGGGTGCGGAGGGAGCAGTGCCTTATTGCTAGTGACAGCTAGAGGGATGTGAGAGACATGCTCAGGGCTTTTCTCATCCCGGAGTTCGGCACACTTACATCACCAGGAAGCAAGTCAGAAGTCGTGCTTCTTTGCAGGAAAGGCTAGAAAAGGAGGCAGATGTGTCTCTATAAGGAAGCCTTGGATTACACAAGTTAATCTTTCTATTTGCTAGAGGTAACCAGAGGTCCCACAATAGAATATAATGCTGCTAAGCTTTGGAAGACAACGAGAGACAATGGAGCTATTGTATATGGTCTTGTTCCTACTGAGAAACAATTAAATTGTACAGTGCTGTCTTTAAATAATAACAGTCTGGATTAGAGCTACAGAGCAGAAAAGTCTGGGCTAAAGCCAACTTGCAGTCCCTCTGCATCAGATTTGAAAGCTGTATGGCAGCTTTATGGGAGGCTTTTGGTATAATCCCCATAAATAAATAAATGAGTTAAAGGCAGGATTGTGAAGCACTGAACATCACTCTTGACGCCAATGGGAGATGTGGACACAAGGAATGAAAGGATGGGTCCAAAATCTTAGTTTAAAGCTATATTGAAAACTTTTTTTTTTTTTTAGCAATGAGATTTTTATGTTGAATTCTTTCCTTTTTACAAGTGCACAAACAGCTCTGGAAAATAAGTGAAGATGAGCAGCTTGTCTTACAACAAATGAAGCTGGGGTGTGAAGTCAGCAGGGTGCTGACCGCACTCCACTGACTCCCCAAGGGGATGTTCCAAACAAATACCAAGTTAGTTTTGGAGTAGGCGATGCAGGGGTTTCCCCATGTCCATCTAGGGGATTAATATCAAATAGTCTATTCACTGATGAATTCCCCCATTGGAATGAGCTCTAAGACTCCTTATGTCTACATGGGTTCATTTAAGGACCGATCTTGCAGAACTGAAGTCAGTGGCAAAATTCTGTCTCGCTTCGGCAGTTACAGAATCTGGCTCTAGGAGACAGTCCACGTAAAGTTAAAAACTACATTTTTTATTGCAAGCAAGGTTTTTCGAAAGATATTTTTCCTATTTGTAGGATACACAGGTTTATTGAGTGTTCTGACATCTTCCATGGGAAATGATAGAGTCTTGAAGTTTCACAGAAATGTCTTTTATCCAGCAGATTATTCAGTTAATGATGTTAAAATAAATGCTGTTCTTGCTCAAGTTACTGGATTTTTGTTATTTATTTCAGAGGAGCTGAAATGTGCATACATGGATTTTAAACAGTGTGGTAAAGTAACTTGTTCTACTCAACTGCTTGACTTCTAGCCTTTTGACTTCTAATGCCATGACTGCATGTTTCAGGGAGCCTTCCAAGGCAAAAAATATCTGAATGGCTAATATAAAGCATAGATAGCCCTTTGCAAAATGTGCATTTTCTTCATACACTTTTGAACCATATCAGGGCACAAAGTCGATTAGTTTTCCTCCTTCCTGAGACACTTGCAGTTCTGGACATCACTAGTGAGGACATGTAACTAGTGTGATGAGTCTAGAGGCAGAAGAGCTCTGAAAAGCCTGCTGGCACATCTCAGATGGGATATGAATGGCTGCTCCTTGTTCCCTCCTTCAGGTGAAGAACTAGACAGCTCTAACGACCAGGAATTACCTGTGGTGTTAATCTGACTTTAGGATAACTTGTAAAGTACTGAGCTGTACTTACAGGGAAAATTGGGACTGGGACAGAATCTCAGGAATCTTGTGATATGCTTAAAAATCGAAATAATTAACTAATAACAATTCAGTCATGTGGTTGTGAGCCCTGCAAGTAAGGTAAGGCTGGAGGGAATCAATACTATTAACATGGCGTTTCTCCAAGTTATTTAAAAAAAAATTGGGGTTGACATTTTGTTACAATCCCTTTATTAGTACTATCTAGAAATATTCTGATTCACAAATGCCAGCTGCTTTTCCCATTGTAGATTAGATAGGAAAAGTGCCTGACTCCTGAAAAGTTCCATCACAACGCTTTTCTCCTGAAACAATTAAGTCACTGCCAAAAGAATTAGCCTGTCTTAATGTTACGCTGTGTTCTTGTGTTTCAATTGCAAGGAATAATGGTACAATGCAGAATCACAACCTAAAATCCACAGTTATAGCTATTGCATATCGGGATATTTGATTACCTGGTCCATGAATTTGAGTCAAAATGTCAGTTCTTGTGCGTGTGTCCTATTACAGACCGTGAAATGAAGAGTTGTGAGCTCCCAGAAATAAAACTTGCTCAAAGTTGCTGCAGAAAATCCTGGGACATGCACTTAAGCTTAAGAATGATGAGAAGGAAGGAGATATTGTCAGGAGCAATGCTCCTTATTTGCTTTGTTGAGCTTAAGCTGAAGGTGTGGAAGAAGAGGGTCTTGAACTTGCTTATGATCTTGCTTATGGACTTTCACCGTAGCCAAATGTCTTCTAGAAAGTGGAGAACTTAAAAGGGAAACAAAGACAAGGTTGAAGAGGACTCTGGGAAAAAAAAGGTGAAAACTATCATGTGACCTCAATGGACAGCTTTCTTCTACCTTGCATTAGGGCTTATGGTTCTGGTACAGTTGTTTAAAAAGTTACCACCCTTCATTTAGCGGTTACTGCCCCTAGCTGAAATGCTTGCTGAGCTTATGAGGGTTTATGCAAATCCATTGTACCTGACCTGACAGTGGCCTAGAAGCACATTTATAATCTATCCTTCCATCTCAGATGTGAATCTAGGAACTAACAGCAATAACTTCCTAAACCACTTGCTTCAGGGCTAGTTGTGCCCTGCAACAAATTTTCTCATCAGCAAAGATCTGAAAAACAGAATGTCCCCAGTGAAGGCTGCTTCTAAGCTCACTATGCTTCTTGGGGGAAAAAAAACCTGCAACAGTATAGAAATGTATGATGCCTATGACTTATGCATTATACAAAACAGATTGTATTAAATCCTTGTTTACAGATGGCACACCAGAATTAATGAAAATGTCTTA